ATGAGGCAGTAATTTCATCCCAGGCCTCAGGGCCGGATTCAGGAGTGGGCAAAGTGGGCAGCTGCCCAGGGGCCTCCACATATTACAATATTTTATTTATTTGTTTATTCATTTGGATTATTTTTATTTTCATTCTTTAAAATTCATGTTTATCTATTCCATCACGTAAAACTATGTTCAGCAAGAAGCGTGATAGAAATTAGGCTAGCTACTCCTTGAAATTCATGAATACCTGGTTTTCCTATGAACCGTATATTTTTAATAAATGTTATTGTTTGTGTTGTTAATAATATATTTAGAATTCCACAAATTTTTGACATGTGCGGTAGTAACTATATCAGGGCTGGTCGACTTGAAACCACATGAATGACTCCAGTCATGTCTCACTTTTGTCTGTGTGTGTGTGTTGGGAATTTGTACACTATCAGTAAATATACAGTTAATTAAAATTTTCTCAATGTTCTAATTTCCTCAATATAACTGCATATGGCTTGAAAATTCTCAACGAAGTGTTCAAATTTCAAAAGTTTCCCAGGGGGCTTACAGCGCCCCCCGGAACTCCCAGATGTTTAGGCTCGCTTCACTCGCCACCCCACCCTCTTGAGTAGTAATAATGAGGGGGGCCTCCACAAAGAGCTGCCCATGGGCCTCCACAGGTCTAAACCCGGCACTGCCAGGCCTTCCTTTTCCTCTCATTTATTGTATTGCTAGTAGACCTGTCCTGAATGACTGGCCTTTGCTCGATAAGGCGCAAAAGTGCCATGCTCTGGGTTTCTGACAGGGCTGCAGAACGCTCTCTCCCCTCCATGTTTCATAACACGGCGCAAAACATTAATGCCAAGTACACATATGAAAAAAAGTATATGTAATTTGATTCGAACAGATACTAAAGTACAATTTGATCAGAACAAATATTTTATAATATATTAGTGTGGACGCATAAAATAACCACTAAATATCTCTCTATAACCGCCTTTCTAATTATTTGAAATAATGCATCTGGCACCTGCGCATGGCCAAAGTTTGTGTGACCATCCGACTCGAACCGCCGTGTTTACACGCGCTTTATTCCTAGTTACAGGCTCATGTAAGCGACTAGGAATACATCGCTCAGCGTCATGTGGCTGCTTCCCGACACACGATGCATGGTGATCATGATAGTGATTGTCATTATCGTCGTAATAACTAGGAATCCGGCCCTAAGTCCTTGGGTGTGGGAAGGCACCCGAAAGACTTATCCCGAATATTCAAACTGGTTATATATGAATAGAAAAAGTCTCTGAAATACAATTTATGTAAATTAAGATGAGATAATAAAGAAAACAAGTATTTAAATGTCCTAATGACCGGTACTACCAATGTTTGTAAGTTCATGTTAGGTCAGCTAAGGTTAGGTCAGGTAAGGTTAGGTTAGTTAAGGTTAGGTTAGGTTAGTTAGGTTAGGTTAAGTTAAGTTAGGTTAGGTTAGAGATATCTTTGTAGACAGAAATTCTAATCCTTGGATTTTGGTCTCTGTTTTGTGATGTACTGTATTGGGTATTTATTGAATATTATGCAATGGTGCAAAAGAAATAGAAGGGCGACATCACCTTTATACAGTACTTATCACCCATTAAAACCCATAAAACCACCTCCCATGTATAATAATACCAACAGGCCGTAATTGCAGTGTAGTATATCTCCATTAGCCGGAATGCTCCAATACTCAGAATTGAAATTGGCTTGGAATCTTTCCGGGAAAACTCTCTCCATTTTGGGTCTGTGAACGAGTTTTCGAGGTTGAAAATCAGGAACATTTTCTGATAAAATTCCTAAAACTCTCTTAAAAAAAGTTGGGTCCAGGCCTGGGAGCAACTTCTGAGGTTGAATATCATGCACATTTTCTGGAAAATTTTGATGAAACTTCCTGAAACAATTTTTCCCTGGTCTCCAAGGATGAAAGAATGTTTAGACTTGAAACTTTTACCAGTAACCTGAAAAAAATCAGGAATGTGTGATTTTTCATGGCTTGAGAGAATCATCCTGTTATCTGGAAATCGGTCAGAAATCTCTCATTCCTAGAAGAGCTCTGTACCAATTTTCCGGCTAATGGGGATATCACTTGTTAGACAAAACAGTAAATTAAAAACAATTTTCTCTCCTACAGGATGCAGTATTCCAGCACACCTGCAACTCCCAACTGCATTGCAATACTTTAGCAGTAGCAGCTTCCAAATTAGTATGGCAGACTGCTTGAAGATTTCCGTGTCATCAGTTTGTAAGTTTATCAGATGTTTTGCAACTATTTTGATCCTTATGGCAAAAGATTACATCCACTTTCCAGAATCAGGCAACATACGAAACCTTGTAGATGAATTTCACACTATTGCATGGGGGTTTGGCGTATTTGGTTGCACTGATGAGTCTCATATCCCTATTAGAAGCCCTGGAGGGAACACAGCTGAACTACATCGATGTATACTGTATACTGGAGACTGTAATCTGTTTGAAAGTAGAGCAAGTGTAAGGGTAAATAGAAGCATTATTGGTTTGGTAAAAAAAAATGTTGTATAATAGATTTTATTATCAGTAATTTTCCAATAAATGGTTTGGCTTTAAATAACACATTTTATTTCCTCTACATATTATCACAGTGCAACATGAAACAGTATTTCAATTATAACAAAATTAAAAAGGGATTGCACTGGCATGACTAAAGAAAAATATATCACAGTATAGTACAGTACAGTACAGTACAGTACAGTAAAGTACAGTATAGTGCAGTACAGTACAGTACAATACAATATAATACAGTACAGTACAGTACAGTATACTGTAGGTAAAATTATATCATTCAAACAGTTTAGTATTTGGCTTGAAATAATAAATGTACACATTTTTAAAGGCTTCAAAGTACTATACTGAAATAGTTTGCAAGTGTCAGAGAAATCTATAACAAAACGATTTTAGCTCCTCAAAATAAGAACAAGCAGCAAAATCAATTTTATCACAATACCTTTACACAGTGTATACTGTACACTGTACAGTATACAGAGCTGAATATAAATTAATAGTAATCATGCTTAGTTTGAAATTGCAAATACAGTAATAGCGTTTATCATTCTTGAAAGATTCTAGAAGTACTTACCGTACCTGTATTGAAAATGTAATTAAAGTGCAAAAAAAAAGTGAAATAAAATAATGATTAAAATTCTCGAGTATATGAAATTCTAGCAAAAAATATGTTGAATCTATCAGCCGGCAAGTTTTCGACAGCATGGGGGGGTCGACATGAACGTTCTAGAAGAGGCTCTCTCATTGACGCAGACATCTCTGATACGGATGCCATCGCTAGCTCGCCTGGTCATACCGAATCCAACGCCCTTCATGAGTCAGACCCCAGTGATTATGACAGTGACGGCAATGTTTCTATGGGAAACACTAGCCGGAGCAGAAACACCAATGCCACAGACCCTATCACCCTGCCCTCTGCCAATCAAACAAGTAAGCTGAATCTACACTTCCCCAAGTATAAGTGCGTGGACTCTTATCTACATTACTTTAACTTTAATACTTCAACCTCTGACCTGTGGTAGCGTGACTCGAGGGTTAGGCCCATGGGTACATGTAATTATGGTATCAAGCAATAGGAAGGAATAACGGTGAACAGCTGCAGGTGAATAATAGACCCAACATACAAATAAAATGGTTTATTAAAAGCACAAAATGGTTATTAAATGACGTTATGTTTCAAGAACAAATAGGAACTCACTTTGTACTATAGCCCTTAGGCCCAATTTCTACTTACACCACGACTGGGTATACACTATACATACACACTAATACACATAAACTCTTTCACAGCACCTTAGCACCATTAAAACCCGTGGCAATGACGCCAGTTACAACACTTGACTGCTCCAGCAGCACCAGACATAACACTCAACAGCACCAGAAGTAGTACTCAAGCGGCAGCCATGGTAGTTTCTTCACCAAGTGGCACCTTTCAACAAACTCAGATGATTCCGGTGAAATAACACAACCACCAATTAGCCCTACTGAGTCATGAATTCATCCACCAATGAAGGGGGCTGGCAGTTGTTTGTTGGGCCTGATGTTACTAGGTTACCACGTGGCCAGTGAGCGTTAGGGAAAGGCTGGCCAGCTATGGGGCCCATAGGTGGTAGTGGGTTCCTGACGCTCGGAATACACAGAGTTACCCGATTCTATTGGCCTTCATACATCTCCCAAATTAGTGGAGGCGTCCCCCAAGTTACAGACAGGCTTAGACTCCGACAGGACCCTGTGGGGTGATGAGGATGAGTTTACTAACGGTTGAAAGCGAACATCAACGGTTCAAAAGGACGTTAAGGGCATAAAAATACTTCACTCAAAGCACATCAGCTACGTTACTGTAATACTTGCACAATCAAACTATTAATTCGGTCAAATCACTTAAAATGGCGAGTTACAACACGTGGAGTGGACACATACCTGTGGGGTGATAAGGATAAGCTTACTAACGGTTTTCAAAGTGCCCGGGTCACTCTCTCCACTGCCCACCAGGTTTGATGGCCACTTACTCACTACGACTGTATTACGTTACTGTACACTCAAGACGCTTGAAACTGAGACTACGAACTCAGTTTCATTCCCAAATATTCTCTTTACAAACACATGCTCTGACTGAGCTATCAAAGGCAAGAATTAAATTGATCTCAAAAGGTTCTGGATGGCAATTCCGGTGGGCGGAGCCTAAGCGAGTAGCGTCTGACTACAGTCACAAAGAAGCAGGTTTAACGGTTCCTTTTAGGTAAATTAACTAATTCCTTAGTTAACATCCTTACAACAATTTCACTATGAGTATCAGGGTCTCTGATATTCATAGGTGAAAAAGGGTTTACAGGTCTCGGTAGATGCAAAAGAGTTTACAAATCTCGGTCAACAAAAATACGACATCTGGATGACGTCGTCAAGGATACAGAGAAAACGGAGGACGTTTCCACTAGGAGACTCAGAAGGTTTCAGGTTTTGTGGGCGTGTAGCGTAATATGAATATTATGTTTTAACAGGCTAGCCGTCATTACGATCATGACTAAAGGAGTCACTGAAAACTGTGGAGAAACACTTTAATTGGATGATGAAGTACTGCAGACAGCACGGTCTCAACATTCAATTCCGACAAGGTAAGAACTGGAACTTTATCAAGTGCCAGACTCCTGAGGTCTATGAAACACTTAGTACTGTTTGCTTTGACGGGGTTTTCCTGGTGCCCCCCCCCCTCCCCGCCCCCAGTAGACGCTGATGAATATATGGTGTTATGACTGTTAGTTGTAACAATCACTTGAGAAGTTATAGAGTTTCACTGTGTATAAAGTATTTTACTCTTTAAATACCTAATACAGGAGTTAGGGCGTCTGTATAGAAAACGCAATCCATCTAGCTGCTATCTGTTGTGGGGTGGGTGTAGGCGCGTGGGTGACGTCAATCTTCCCTCCCACTGTAGGCTATGCGCTGATACGATGTCGCCTCCACTGAATGTCAAATCTTCTGCAATCCTGTATATATGGGGGACTGTCTGATGACACCGGAAATACTGCAATCAACGATAGCGAAACCACAACAACTGTACAGACTGAATGAGAAACACTCACTAATTATCGTCTCAATACGGGGTATTCTTAACACTCGGATATTGTTTGTAACGTATCACTGTAAGGTGTTTGTTTTTCTAGTTTCACAAAACACCGACACGTTGGTAAGTAGCCTGATATGTCGTTTTCGTACTCACACGAGCTGCAATTCCTGATGTGTAAATCACCATGTCTTCTGCTATCTTTGAGAGTGAAGAGAGAGAAAGGGACGTATACTGATATATCGTCCGTTTGATGTAAGTTTGGGAGTGTTACTTTGAGTAGTGTACCCATCGAGGGAGAACGGTATGGGTACGTCGTTTCCCCTCGAGGGAGGACGGAGCCATCCACTGCGGCTCTCAAATAACGTCTTCCTCTAGTAATGGATATCAAACTACTGCTCACTTCAGGTGGCCAGAGAGCCGGCTACTTATGCCTTTACTCAGCATAGTATGACGCAGCTTCCCGTGGGCACACCTTATCACGTGCATTGAACATGTCACCTCATAGCCAGTGTAAAGTAACAGAGGGTGAATCTGAATATAAATCAGATGTAAGTAACCCATTTATATAATACTTTCTGTTGATGAGACAGGGGCCATTACACCAATTCAGCGAGTGTACTAATCCCAGTCTGTGCAGAGAACTATAGTAAGACCCAGTTATCAGCACAGTGGCATCTAGTTTTTTTTTTTTTAAGTTTTGGACTTTCTCATTTTTGTTTGATAAATACATCTGGTCCTACTACCCCATCCCTCTGGTGGAAGAATTTCAAGTTTGCCCATGCGCAATGTGAAGTGTGACGTAGCAGTGACGTCTTTACCACTCCACCTCAAACAAGCCAAACTGTCTACCTGACTGCAGTGTTGCCAACGTGCCCTATGCCCGCCGTTAAACGCTCTCGTTCGTTGGAGAAGTCGGCAGTAGGTGACAGTGATGCTGACGACTTTCATCTTGATGACAAGTCTAAGAAGCAGAAACCTCAGAAGGGGCTACGGCTACCCCTCGCACCCCGTCTGGGTCCCCAAGTGAGCTTTCATTTGGCTCAATGACCGATCCTCCGCCGATGATGGACATAGGGGATCGCCCCTCGTCTCCCTGCCCCTATCGCGCCTTCGTCGTCTCGCCTTTCCTCGGGACTTGCCTCTGAGCACACGGACGACCTGGTTCTGCTGCCACTGCTCTCCACTTCAGGACTCAACACTTTGCCTCCGCCGAGGTCCTACAGCCGTAATAGTCACCACTCAAATGGACGAGATGATACGCCCGTTCACTCAAGCGGACTTTCTTGCTCCCCAGGGGAAGTGATGCTGAAGTCCACCACCATCACCCCAGAGACTCGTCGTACCAAGGTAATGGTTCGCCGCGTACCCTGGGAGATCCCTATAGAGCATAGACGATCTTCACTCCCTTCTCCCACAACTACTCGACATGGAGCACCGCATCAACCCGGTCTCCAAACGTCCATCCAACGAGATCATCGGCTGGTGGGTGGGCCCCCTTCCCCCGAAGGTGAATGTAGGACCTATTCACAACTGTCTTCTCGACCGATTTATCGGAACCTCGAAAATCTGTGGTCGTTGCTAATCGTGGAAACACCGCACCTGAGAGTGCACGAGGATGGTTGCCTGCTGTTTCTGTGCAGGTCCTCACGACACAGTGAAATGCAAATTGAAAATTCAAAATAAAATCCCCTACCAGCCCCCCTATCACCCCTACCACCCATCCTTTCTCCCCTCCCTCCCTCTCTCTACCGTTCTTGGAACAAGGGCGTTGCCGGCCCTACCACACAGTCACCACCACCTCCTGCCCACCTGGACCCCAGCTGTCTCTCACCAGCACCACCACCAGCACCAGCACCAGCACCAGCACCATCACCTCTTGCTCACTTGAATCCTCACCGCCCCTCTCCGTCGCTACCACCACCACCTGCCCAGTCGGGCCCTCGCCAATCCTGCACAGGTACACCAAGTTGGTGCTATGGAAACAATCACTCTCCGCCTGGATCGCCACTCCAAGCAAATCAACCTTCTCTCTGTCCAACTGAACTCGTTTGTGGAGACAATTGCAACATTGCAGAGACAACAACAACTCATTCTGGACACCCTGACCCAACAGGGACGCACTTTGCAAGCCCTGGTGACCCACTTCCTTCCTTCTCCCGAGATGGAGGATCCATCCCTCGCTCTCCCACTCCTCCCTCTCCAATATCCTCAACAGAATTTGGTACCTCCTCCAGAGCCCTGTCTATCCCCACCGACTCATCTCACACCGGAGGCCGTTCCCTACTCTTCTTACAATGGAACATCCTGGGACTTAGACCTCGCCGGACAGACCCCGTCCAGGTTGTGCTCTCCCATCAAGTAGATGTCTCTCTACCTCAGGAAACCATCACAGACGATGTTACTCTACCCCGCCTCTCTGACTATGCTGTTTACACCCTGCCTTGGTACCGTGGGCAGGCTCGTGACCTCCTCACCCTTGTGTGTAACACCATTCCATCTGTTCGTCTCCCTTCACCTGACTCACTTGGATCCCCTTCTGAATTACTTTCTGTCTCCCTTACTCTTGGTGACAGGGCTCTTCTTGTAGTCAATGTTCATTTCAAGAGTGATTCTCTGGACCCCCAGGTTCATCACGACCACCATAATGGGGTTCCCACTATTGTTCTTGGCGACTTTAATGCCCGCCATCCCACTCTTACTCCAGATTATTCCACTCCATGTACCCTTAACAGATCATATCTCCCACAGTTTCTTAATGAAGATAATGATGTTCGCTTTCTTCGTCGTGACGATCCTACTCGCGTTTGTGTCGAAGTTTTGAAGAACGGTGGTCCCCGGACTGCAGCTCGGGCTGGGTTGGGGTTCTGTCTGAGTAATCCCGACTTTCTCGCTAACCTTCCACAAAGAACTCTCTTTGGGGCGTGGGTGTCCCAATCGCTCCAGACGAGCCCATTAGTGCTATTCCTCCTTGGCTGGATGTATCATTTCCTGTTGATTGCACGCCTGTTGGTAGTGTGCAGGTGTTGGGCGCCGATGTGATGAGATGTGTCACACTGGAAACTGTGAACAGACATATGGAGAGTGTTGGATCGAGTGAATATTTCCAGTTCCGGAATAATCAGAGATACAACTTAAGGCACCCAGAGTTACTAAGACCACCCCCCATGTGCTCCTCTCAGTCCCAGACCTCCATAAAATATCACTGTGTGAAGGAATGGAACAACTTACCCCCACCCAGCAAAGACTAAGCTCCTTTCCTTTAAATCATCACTTAAAAATATCTATTGTCTAAGTATTAATATTTCTTGTAACACCTACTATATTTACAGTACCTGTTTTTATTGTACCATCAAAACCGTTTTATCGGAGATTATCATGTAAATAGATAAGTAATTACCATTGCAATAAACATAATTGCCAACTAGATATAATCCTGACAACTCTGTCCTCTTGTTCAATCTTATTACCGTACAACCCAGGTTGTACTGCTCCCCCATTATACTTATGTTTTTTTCAATTCCACTGTAATTTATGTATATATAAATAAAAAAAACTAAAACTAAAAAAAATAAATAAAAATATATAAATAAATGTAATTAATAAATAGTGAACTGATAACCGTGGTAACATTATGAGATGTTCCTATTACCACCATGCTATTGTACTATTCCAGGTGATACTAACTGTTACATAATACTTCCTTGAGATAAATTTATAGTATATATCAGGTGCCAAAGAGAGAGCTCAGGTTCTCAACTGGCTCAGCCATGTTAATATTGTTATTATTATCCACTTTGTATCTGTGTTTTTCTGGATAAATAAACTGTTTCAATTCAATTCAATTCAATTCAAATGAGCTTTTGCTGATGGTTCTGTGCAGACGGGCGCAGGTGGGGCGGGCTGTGCAATTGTGGTGTATGGAGAAAGGGAAATGATGGTGTCGAGCGGGCTGGGGCTGGACGGCTGGGCCAGCGCAACATAGGCTGAGCTGGCTGGAGTCTGCTTAGCTCCAGGCTGCCTTGGGGAAAGTGGAGGTGGGGTGATGTTCTGTGACTCTCAGGGTGATTTTAAATCTATGAACAGCCCTTCGTGTTCTGTGTCCGGGGTTGTATGTGATATTGGGGGAGGTGTGATGGCTGCCAATGAGAGCAACTCTCGTGTCGAGTTTGTGTGAATTCCGTCCCATGTTGGAATTGGGTGTAGTGACCGTGCTGATAGACTGGCCAGTGAGGCATGTAAGAGGGAAGGTGTTGACCGTGACCTTAGCCTGTCCAGTGCTGTACTTGGGGGCATTCGGGTCGGAATCGTGGGCTCTGGTCTGGAGGAACTGAGAAATGCAGAGGGACCTGGTAGTTGTAGCGTTGGTGGGTGTGACAAATTTTATGGCGGGAGGTGTCGGTGTGGCCGGCATGGGGACAGGGTCGGGCAATGTGATGTAGTCGTGGCCGGGGTTGGGCTGGGGTGCGGACACGTCTGGCAGGTTGGTGGTGCTGTGCCCATGCCGAGGCAATCAGCATGTGAACTTTGTGATAAGCCTTTGGAGCGTGC